AAAGTAAAGAAATTAACAAAGAGAGTTAATCGCAGAGCACAAGATTTTATTAATCGAAAATATGAAGAGAAATATGAGAACTCAGCAATTCTTGCTTTAACAAAACTGAAAGAGATTACCACTATTTATAGGTACATGACATAGCATAAAGATGAAAATAATGTAAAATAAGGAATTAATATATTTCCATAAAAATCACGTAAAATATAAGGAAACAAATTTTTCCATATGAAAATAAGGAAACAATTTATTTCAAAAAAAAAATCCACTCTAATTTGAGTCACAAACCCAACATAAAACTCGGTTGCACTATAAACCAAAGTACAATCAGTTCAAAGATACAAGATCAACTCACAGAGACTAGTCTTTAAACAAGACTTTTGGAACGAAGCACCCTCTACTGAAGAATCACAACAAAACTCGTTCTATCTCCAACTCTTACTGATTACACAAATTACACACATTCTATACACAAATCACCCAGAAAAGCACCACAGGCTTTTGATCTGGAGTATATCCTAGAGATTCTAACATTTACACTCTAATTGCTCAAGAATGAGAAACCCTAACAATAAGGATGAGGTTTTCTCTCTAGAGGGAAGAAGAATAGTTGAACCCAAGAATGAATGAGAAGTGAGTCGAATCATCCAGTCAACCATCAATTGGAAGATATAATATCAAAAGTCTCTAAAATAGGATCTGATGGTCATCAAGAAGTCAAGTGTCATGATCCAACAAATAGCATCCATTAAGTAAACTGCTATTTTATAAAACACGTTTTTCCTTCATAAAATTTTGGAAGCACACTTTCTACATTGTCAGGTCTAGGGTTCGAAACATAACAGGTGTGCCTTGAATGATTTAGTTAAAAGTATTATTGATAGATCGATTGAAAAGTTTGAGGATCAATCACAGATCCACTCAATCAATCAAGTTAATTGAAATAAGGTAAGAATAAAAATGTTTCAGTAGTAGATGCACCTGAGCATTGAGTTGAAGGTGGTTTTATAGCATTTCTAGAGCAAGTGCACAAAAATCAATCGAGAAATTAGTTGACAATTATTTAAGTAACACAAGATTGAATAACAGAGTGGGAAGATCATATTTCTCAAGAACAAGAAATATCACCGATAACTTTTTTGACTTTTAGGACATTTTGAACTTTTTAACTTGGAAAATCACAATAGTTTTGTTTAATACGTTCAAGTAGTGAGTAAGAAAGTGATCATGAACCATAGAGATGTTGGTTAATGAACTTTAATCATCACAATAGGAAATTAATTTTTCTTTGAAAATTAAAATCATGTAAATAAGGATTTGATTGATCTTGAGATCATTGGATTATAAAATCCTTACATATATAGAAAAGGGAGGAGATGCCCTTTTTGAAGGAGCTATTAATGGCCTAACAAATTTCTTCCTCCCTTAAATCTTCTTCCTTGTTCTCCACTAGGTGTTATTCCTTTTTGGGGAATGTGAAAAGTGGCTAACCCTAAAATCACCCAAAATATGCCAATAATGTGCATATTTATAATGATTTATTAGGGTTTGAAAATTGCACAAATTTTCTTAGACTTTATTGTAGTAGGCCAATTGAGTCACACACCTTTTATTGGAGTTAAGAGAGGGATCTAATTGGACTCCCATGACCAATTGAGATGCATCTATTAATCCCGGCTTATTCTACCAAAAAATCGAGATTGCACTCTCGAGTCGAGTGATAGTTATAGAAGCAAATTATGATCCAATAACAATATCCTCTAATTATCGTTCGACAAGTCAACCTCCATTTGACCGTCAATATGTTAAAACTGACAAAATGACCATTTTGCTCTTCAACATGCATTACCCTCTAAGTCCCATTTTTATACGACAAGTTCGTTGTAATCAAATCACAATGTAAAGTCCAAAGATCTCATCGTCGACCTACTGAGCTCAGATTCAATTTACCTAGGAAAATACATTAGAGTGACGATCGTCTTATCTCAATGATTAATGGATTCCAATATTGTAAGTATATGATCTCTAATTGTTTCGGCCCGATTCCCAAAGCACCTAGATCAATCTTCTATTTAAGACTTCACTCATTAGTATCTCAAAGAACTTGAACTAGCAATCAAAGGTACATTACTCACTCAAAATTTAGATGACCTGTTTGATAATCAAGTAGTGTCTCATTTCAAATGGTCACAAATGAGTCATCTACGCGGTCCCGTTCAATGTGCATCGAAACACATTATTGTTCCTATTTCAAGATCTAGACAAATCTTAATAAGAACAATACAATCTTATCAACATAAAGCGTCCAACTTTATGAACTGATTGTGAACGACATAATTTTGATCACATCACAAATTGTGTCTTACGATACCCGATTCATCGAGTATACAATTTGTGACGTCCTTTATGATCATGGAACCTTAGACAATCACTTCAAATTATATCACGCAAATAAACGAACGTAAATTCATAATATGATTTTACAGAACATTACTCGAAGAATGGGCATCAAACTAACAAGAGATGCTACACTCAGTATATGATCACCAGGAGCACAATTATATTGCATGAAGTTTTGTTTTTTAGTTTCAATATTGTCCTCTGTCTCCAGATAAGTTGCTTTTTTTTTCTTTTTTCTTTTTTCTTTTCCTTTTTTATTTTTTTTTTATTTTTTTGGAACCTTTAACTAGATATCAAATTGAACCCTCCAAAATTTGTACTATATATATATTTTGGTAGTATTTTAAAAGATGTCACGTAGAATGATTTAGTGAAAAAATTATTTGTGTCTCCCACGGGCTCCTTTATATGAGGCTAGATTTCTTATCTATTTGTTTTAGGGTCCATTTCGAGTGGTTAGTGGGAGACGACTAGAAAGTGCCAATGATTAACATTAAGGAAAACCAGTTTGATGGATAAATTTAGGGTCCATTATTGATAGTAAATTAAACGACATAATAAAGACATTCAAATTGGTAGTATGACTTGAGAATTGAGAATATCGTCATCCTGAAATTGACCATACAGTTATGTCGAATTTGGGGATGCGTCAAATCGATGGCTACAATCTACAGATTTTTTTTATTTTTTTTCCGTGTTGATTCGTGAAATTGATCTAAACATAATCAGACTCCAATTCTTACGCGAAAAACAAAATTATCAATGTCGTTTTCTAGAAAGCAACTAAGTCAGTTTTATTATTTGAGAATAATGTACATCTTTATTTTTTTTATACTGGATCGTTGGTTTGACAAAATTTATATTTTCATTACATATAAGTTATCTTTTCTATATAGATAAGGTACTCAATTTGGGAAGTTCTTTTTGGTGCCCTTGATAATTAGTTAAATTATATGAAGCCCTCCATAATAATAATAATAATAATATATATATATATATATATATATTTTGTTCTAGAAGAGAATCTATGCAATGGCTTTTCTCATTACCGAGTAATTGACAAATATTTTAGTGTTGTTAATTTCACGTGCAAGTGATTCTTAGTAAATTATATTTGTATATTCTAGAAGAGAATCTTTGGTTATGAGTTTGGTGGAAAATCATTTGTACAGAGGAAGGGTTCATAGAACCCCTCTAGAAGAGACATGATATTAGCTCCACGCAAGATTCACGGGTGATAAAAAAATGCGAAATAAAATGACGACCTACCGCTTTATGTGTTGTCTATAAGGTTTCTGTGAAGCCCCATTCTGTACATGTAGCTGGATTCTATTAGTAGATAGTACTCCAATTTATTTTACAAATATTAAAATGATGTTAATGGAAATTGGAATCGTTTTTTATTTTATTTTATTCTTCTTAAAACTGAGGGAATGCTGGCCTAAATTTTGATATATTATGCTACTTTGTTCTCTGGAACCGGCCACTTGTGTTTTTTTCCCTACTCCATTAAATAGTAATATCATTTTCACTTATTGTGGAGTTAGAAGAATTTGTGCTCGTATAATCCTTTACTTATAACGTAGTATATATATAAAGGACGTATCATCAAATTATGCATACTGTACAACTCGATTAGGATAAAGGTGTGATTGTCGAATCAATTCTATCATAGTAAATGTCGTCACCGTTGTGCATAAATTGCACGGAAAGTGCACCAATTGATATTATGGATGTTATATTCATTCAACTTGTTGTGACATGTTACATCGAAATCAAATTAATATTCTATATATCTGATATATATAGAGAGAGAGAGAGAGAGAGAGAGAGAGTTACCTTTGGATAGACTTTGGTTAGTAGTTTCTTGATGACAGTATGAGATTGATGTAATATCTGTCAAACAATGCTAGTGAGCCATAATTGATTCCGTCACATATTTGTTACTGGCATAAATGTCTTTGTCAACTACCTCACCTGCAACACTTTCATGTGCAGAATTTTAAGTGACAAGTTTTCGTTGCTTAAACATTTTATCGGTGTGCGCTTGTTTTTCCTTCGATTGCATCTTCTCCGTTTATATAAAAAATAAATAAATAAATAAATAAGAATTAAAAATTTTTTGACAAGCAAGAATTTTTTTTTTTTTTTTTTTTTTTTTTAACTCTGCCATTAGCTAATGGTCAACGTCTATAAGTAAATTCGATAATGCTATTTGTACTTGCCTCCCGGGGCATAGTCCAGTGGTGCAAAGGATAGGAGTGAAGTTATCTCACGCCTTACTAACAGTCGCAGTGTGGGGGTTCGATTCCTGAAATATGGAATTGGAGTCCTTGTAGGTGCAGTGTACAGACAGTTCTTGTTCCCTGACCTGTTAGGGCACATCCCGCGATTTACCTCCCTCACAAAACTCTAAGAGCGAGAAGGTGGAGGCTGTCAAAGTTGGAGTTCAACCTTTGATAATGATATTTGTACTTTCGGAGTTGACACCCCATATTGCGGGCCCCAACCCCTGATGTACACGGCATGATTGAAGTGAATTTGTCAAAAAACGAAATAGAGAAAAATGATACCAGAAAGATAAATTTTCAATTAAAAAAAAAACCTCTAATTTTCTTCACATATTTATAACGAACACAAATGTTTACAAACTCCATAGTTTACCCCTAAAAAAAAAAAAAAAAAAGAAAGAAAGAGAGGGAGAGAGAGAGAGACAACGAAGCTAAAAGGACTGAAAAAAGTCGTGGTTCATCCCTTTTTTATGTCCACTACATTTTACTTCTACTTTCTGCTTTTTTCTCTCCTCTGCAATTGGTTTAAGCTTTTGGCACTTCCATGGCTATCATTGGAGGAATTGGCATTGGAGCACTAATGGCTACGGCTGGAACACACACTTTTTCGTCTTCATTTTTCTGCATTTCTATAACATTATTTGCTTCAATGTCTTCAATCACCATTGTCTTCTGGTTATTTCCGGTGCCTCCTAATTTTACTGGTTCGGGAATTTCTTCTGCTTCTTTCTCCTTGTACTCCTTGTATTTTCCCCACAGCACGGAGTAAAGTCCGATCACAATCAACACGGCCCCAAGAACACTGAACCACAATAAACAAAAAAAAGTTAAATGACTCCTCAGAATCAAGTAATTACAACATCATATTTTATTAATTTTAATTTCTTTTTAGATTATAATTAAGGAAGAGAAAATCACCCGCCAACATATATTTTCTCGGCGAGGATGAAAGAGCCCATGATTGCTACAATGATCATCATCAATGGACTGAATGCAGTCACGAAAACCGGCCCTCTTTTTTGCATGACGAGTCCTTGTACATAGTATGCAATGCTTGACGAAACAATACCCTACAATAGGAAAAAAGAACCGATGACGTTATTTTTATGGGCATACTGAATTCATTTTTATTAAAAGCTTAATATATGCACAATTTTATTTATCTAGTAACGGAAAATTTTCAACTCGACTTGACTCGACTCACAGCATAGGCAGCAGCTAGCAGGTTCATGTCCCACCCAATGGTCCAAACAGATGATTTGTGCTCCATTACAAAGGTGACAGCTATAGATTGCAATGTTCCCAAGAAGCACACAAGGGCTGTTAGGGAAAGATGGGCTGTGTATTTTCTCATTGTGATAGCCTGTGATAAAAATCAAAGAGATTCTTATTTTAATTTACTTTCTTGCCCAAAAATTTAAAAATAAAAATTGAAAATGAAAAAAAGTGCAAAATACCTGAAGGATGAAGAAAGAAGCCCAGGCAAGTGTGGCAATAATAAGAAGAATTGAGCCTTTAAGCCAGTCCTTGTCAGTGATTCCAGCTGTGCCAGAAGCATTGGTTTCCTTAGGATGTATGTACTTGGACCATACCATGTTTAGTACATCACCTTTGTACAGTGTCATAAGCATGGCTCCAGCCACTGTCACCATTGTTCCCACCACCTTTGCCTGGCACCTGACCTTCTTTATGTTCACCTTCTCCATTCTGCACCAAAAGCGTGTTAGATAACACTTTTCAGTACCATAGACAAAATTTGTTTTAACTTTTTTTCTTTTTTAACCCTTTTAGTCTCGCGTACTAAAGATATCGTTAGTGATTCAATGTCTTAGTATTTCGAGGAGAATTTACGAAAGGCAAAATAGAAAATAGATTCTTGAGAATCCACTCTCTGTCCCTTTCACAACAGGACATAACAAAACAAGCTCTATAGGCCACCACATGTTCGATAATGCATAAATAGCAAATTGAACCAATTGGCTAGAATTTTGAATCAATTAATAAGAACTTTAGGATGCTACTTCACTGTCATCTTGAATCAAAACCTCATTTTACGAAATAAATATACTGCAATTGAGAAAACAAAGTTGAAACATGCTGGTCAACCCATAAAAAATTTACTTAAAAACACAGATCAACTCCAATATATAAGATCCTAATTTCTTGTCAGAAAACAAAATTTAACTCTTCTATTTAATTATTTTTAGTAAAGTTTAGTCTTACATACTAAAAGATGTAGTTGGAGA